GCATACGATTAAAATATAATATGATTTACCATGTTTCTTATTATTTGTCGTGAATAAGAGATGCAGTCATGAAATTTAATGATTTATTAAATGTTTAACATATAACAGGTATTTACATCAAATCTGGTACACGACTACAGTTACAAAATATTTATTAAAAAATTATGGTAAAAAGAGAGAAATTTGAATTCCAAGGCAAAAACTATTTGATATTTAAAAGTCTCTTGTATATGAAGAAATAAGTTGCCATGGACACTAGTACCTTACATTGATAAGATTCGTACCGTTATTTCAGGCCTTACTGACTTAAAAAATAAACTAATGTAGTTTTGTTATTATTAATCCTGTTACAACTTTCAAGTGGTAATATTTTAATCATAAACTTAATTTACATTTGTGTAAATAAAATGTATTAGGACTTTTTTAATTCTTGATATTACAATAAATTCTAATAGCCACAGACTAATAATATTACAAAGATATATTTCTCTTTTGTGAATCACATTTTTGTGCAATCGTTGACAGCATGTAATGAAAATTTTAAAATTTACCTGAAGAAGACATATTTCAATTATTAACTAAATTAACTCAATTTTCATTGTAAGGAAAATTAATAACAACGCATGAGATATCAAATTATGAGTAAATAGGAACTTAGCCAGTAAGCTGTCACGGTAACCAGGAATCAAAAATATAAAAATCGTAATCGCAAAATTCACGAAAGTATGTTGATAATCAACTAGTTGTAGCTTTTTAGTAGTTTTTATTAATTCATTTGTTAAATTTTAGTCTACTTCGAGCTTACATAAATTCTTAGAAATTAAAATCTTGCTCTTTGCGTTTCAGAAACGACAACCAACAAGCTAAATCGCCAAAATTTAATAAGACAATATTAATATATAATCAACGGCAAAAGCTGGTCCATGCATTTTATCTATTTATATGGTTGAAAAGTAATGTGGAGCAAGTGGGAATTTTTTAAAATTACATAGCACCAAAATAGGTGGACGTTAGTAACTCATGTTGACGATTGGAATGGAATGAGCATTGATGATTTATGCAGTGTATGTACTTTATCATAAAGTTGTATAAAAGAGAGTTAATTTCTCATAGATTCTGTAAAATTTTACATGTCAGTCAGGTCAGACGCATTCTGTGATAAATCACATAAATTAAGAAGGCACAACAAACGAGGCTCGATCACAACGGCGTTACTAAATACAATCAAGATATTTATTTCTTGATTCTTGATTGCTTGCATTTACAGATTGATAAATTAGTCATACTAATTTAGTTAGTTATTAAAAGAGTTTTAAATGGTCTTTTAGTTAAGTAAATAGGTAAAGCAAATAGTCATTTGAGTTTGAGTGAAGCAATTTTGCTTCCTATGATTAAGTATAAAGTTTCTTGAATTATTGCGTCTACAAAAATGTTTTTACTCTAAATGCTTGATTCATAACACCCTTTTTTTCACTCAAGCGCAAAGACTGACTATTAATTTATATGCATATTTATGTTTAATTAATATCTTATATATTTTTCTAGGTATAGAAACCATAGGGTTTATTCGTTAATTTAAATTTATATTTTTATAAATACATATATTCTAAAATAAAGATCAGCAGGTACTTTATTTATCTGATCTTGAAAAGAGAATTTTTCGTAATAAAATACTAGCGTTAAAAAGTTTTAATTAAATAAAAAATCATTACGTTACTGAAAATATGCGCACATCGTATATTACTTCGTTGTAAGGCAGTTAAGATTGTAACAAACTATATGCCAAATTAAGTTTCTGATTATAGAAACTGATCGTATAACTTGGAATTAACACAACTAATTACCTTCTTTTTTTCAGACTGTTTTGTTTTCCATTTGTGTAAATTTTTTATTATAGAATCGACAAGATATTGAATATCTACTTTGGTAATTGGCTGTGTAAATTCTTAGTTAATAGTTTAAAACTAGTTTCGTAAGTGCACGTCGTTGATCGCGTATATGGTTTTCAAATATAGTGTGATACAATGATTAGGAGTATGCAAAAGTCTTATTATAAATAAGTAAATAAAACTGTAATATTGTAAAATTAAAACGACCTATTTTCTCTTTGGTTTACTTGAAAGCGGGTTTGATCACATCACCTGTTTGTATTTCAGTTACAATCTATCTTTGCGACAAGTAGATATGACTTCATTAAAATTAAAAAGTTTTGGTTTTTTCAACTATGTTCATAGTGTTATGTATAGTGAGTAAAAAATCGTGAAAAACAGTATTGACACAACAAACGATGTGAATGGGGTTGATTTTTAAAAAAGCAATTATTAACCTCCTTTTTTGTCATTTTTTGATGATAAGCGATTGATGAAACCTGTTTATAATGTTATTATTATTGATTTTGTAAGAAAGATTTGCTCCAGTGAATGTTGTTTTTGAATAAAACTTTTTCGAGCGTATCCTAGTCAAAATACCATGCATTTTTTCTGACTTTATCCAGAGTATCCACCCAATACTATTAAGTTAATCAGTGCACAACATTTTAGGGCCAATTAAAAAATGCTATAAAAATTTTTTTTTTCAAAAACTATAAAATCTGTTAATTTATGTGCTTACACTAAGATACATTTTATACTCAAGTTTCAAATTTTAAATTATTCAATAACGAAGTAATTTCATAAAGTTGTGCAAAAGCTGGGTTTTTAGATTTTGCCCGTTCATTAAGTTCTGTAGCCGTTTCTTGTATCAAATTTTTCCATTCCTTGCGATTCCTCTCATTTCTGGAGCAAAATATAACTTCATTGACATCTTCTCCCAATTTATAAGATGCCAAAAACTTGTAATTCTTCTGTAAATTACAAATAACTTCATTCCGAAGTTTTTCGTTTCTTGCCACAAGATTTAAAATAAAAAGGCCATCGTCTGTGAGACAGTTTTGTACAGTTTTAAGCATATCAGGTTCAACAAATTGCTTTGGAGGGCAGCTCATACCGATGCTGGGATCTTTACTGTCCACATCAAAGAGTATTGCACTGAATTTTTTACCATTATTTGATGATGTTTTTAAATATTCTATACCGTCCGCGATTTCAACTTTCAATTTGGCATCTTGAACGAGATCAAAGTACTCTGTAGCTACTTTTAATACTGCCTTGTCTATTTCTACAGCTGTGACCACTGCCTGCACGAAAACATAGAAGATAAAGAGTTTCAAAGTACTCACAGAAGTACAGAAAACTGAAAAAAAAAAATTATTTTGACAATACCTGTGGAACATAATTACGAATGAAAGTGCACAATCCACCGCCACCAAGACCAATTATCACAGTTTCACCATTGTCCTTGTTTTTCAGTGCTGCTTTTAAGCCTAACGTCATGTAAATATGATGTTCACACGCGACAAAATCTGGATCAACCACGTATTTCAATTTTTTCCTTCTAGATGTTACTGAGATCAATAAACCATTTAAGTCAATAATTTGTAACGTGAGCTAACTACCAATAAATTATTTTTAAGAACTAAAATGTGTACAAGAAATAAAATACTGCGAATATAATTAAATAAGTAATACTATGAAAAAACTATCGACAGCGATTAAATTTATTCTATCATTTAGTGCTTACCTTGTTTTAATTTTGCTTCGCTTTGAACGACAAATTGATTATCCAAAAATATCAATCTTCTGAATAATCCTTCTTCACTCTCGATTTCTTCAACAACGAAAGAGCCGCTTATGATACTTTTTCCCTCGTAACATATTTTTCTTTTACCAATCCCCGGTCCCGATAACGACAGAAAAGGAATTTGTGATGTGGAAAGACTCGCTGGTGCGAAATTTTTCACACTCGCCGAAAGTTCACTTTTCACAGCATCGAGATTTTCATATTCTTGACCACGTTTTAATGTCACGATAATCAGGCGGTCAAACATAGCTGATTTAAGCAATTGCTGCCTTCCTTCTTTTGTACTAAACAACCAGTCGATTTCCCTAAAATAGTTTAGTGTATTGTACAATGTAGCGAATCATTATTTAAAATGCAACAGCTTCTGTTTTCGATATTTACCTGCCTTGTGGTACAATAAAAGCAGCATACGTTTTTTTTTCTTTTAATTTCAACTGATCCAATACATACATGGTATATCTCGGTTCTTTATCACCAGGTCTGTACAAATCAAGGGAAACTTCTCCTTCATTGGCCACACTACTTTTATATAAATTATTACACACTGATGCAGAATCTTGGGTTACTGTTACGTTATTAACTAGTTCCTCAACAGTGGGAATTCTTATTGGAGGACCTTCTGTGAAAACTAACTCTAATATCTGCAAAAAAACAGCATGTTTAAATAATTCATGAATATATAGCGTTTTTAATCAAATACGTAGAAAAGTATATCTATAAATACACACCGGTTTAAGTAGTTTCATGAATTTTGTTGACACAACCATAAATACAGGCATTGTGCTTTCACCCTGTTCCCTAGCTTTCATTTCTGCATCGTGACAGCGTATCACGCGAAACGCATAGGATGAAGAAAAACTCGCGACCAGAGTCTTGAGAATGTGTTCTTGTAACAGAGATATACAAATGTACCTGCCACTATTTTTAAGTACTCTTTTGAGTTCCTGTAAAAATCACATCATTAACAAAGTTACAATGATAATATTAAAAGTTCCTCCTTTACAAAACATACCGCAAGATATGTATCAATCAGAGCTACAGTGGCTTTATCGTTGTCAGGCATAAGTGCATCTAATGTTCCCTTGTCAATAATGACACTGAACTTTCCATCGACAAATGTCATTTTTGTTGCATCCATTTGTTCAAAAATCAAATTTGGCCTTTTAACTCTATTTAACTCTACCATCTGTTTAATGACAACTTGTGATACGTCAATGTTTACAATGTTTCTAAAACATAAAAAACACATCACAAAAACTAGTCACAAGAAAAGCTTCTGTTCTTAACTTGAAAAAAAAGTTGAACTAACTTGTAACCAGCGTCATACAGATCCATCCCGAGGGTCGAATTACCACAGCCAACTATAAGAATATCGTCGTTTGGTTTGATGTATTTCAGCAAATAACTACTGAGTTCCAGAAACTCACCGTACCTTAATTTTAATGTTGAAAAGATCAGTAATGGTTAAGAAAATTGTAAAAGCAAACAGATGAAATAACAACTCACCATTCAAAGGCCTTGTTTCCTCTATTTTTAAAAAAAGTGTTCCAGTAATCAGCTTTGCTGAATTCGTGGTGAGATTTTGGCAATAAATTCATATTGTATTTATTTGAAAAATAGGGTAGTTTTGATGAATTGGTAACAATTTTGTAGTAGATTATTTATAATAACACAGCAGCTTGTTCATACGACCCATCCAAAACATAATACAAACATATTTATACAGAGCTGCAGAATGCTGCAGTATGTAGCAGCCAGTGTAAACACGTGCTTTTGTCGTTTGTCGTCTTTTTTGCGCATGATGCACAAATATTTATAGTTTACAATTTTTACGATCGGCGATCAGCGCCATCTAGCGGTATTCATTTTATGTCGTATCGTTTTTAATATAAATACCGCTAGATGGCGGTATTCATTTTATGTCGTATCGTTTTTTATATAAATACCGCTAGATGGCGCTGAGTGTAAATTTTAGGTGTATAAATAAAAATGCGCGCGTGTAACGATCAGGGAACTGAGGGAGCGGGAACCGGAAGCGGTGGAGGTGGTGATTCTGGAAATTCTGGAATTCTGAAGAGGGAAACACAGATAATTTGACTTTTCGCAAAAAGCCGTGAAAATGAATACCGCTAGATGGCGCGGATCCACATAACTCGCATTTAAAAATGTTTTTTTTTTTTTTCATTTGTAAACAAACTCCGAAATATCGGTGAAAATTGAGTCATCACCTTGGAAATTTTGAAGTTTGTTAGGGGTTGTGTTAAATAATAAGCCATCACCCTAGAGTTGAAACTCTACAATGAAAATTGTCGAGAGCAAACTTTACGAGAAGCCCTTTAACCCTGTAAGTAAGTACTTAATAACAAAACTCTGTAGAGCATAAGAGCAAGTCTCAACAACCCGACAACCATAAATACAAGTATACTGTATCCTACAGACGAGCGCAAACGTAATCAACATATATTCCTATAACATAAAATAGCCTCTGTTTGAACAGGCCGCGACGGTGGTAAAACGTGTCATTTTCCAAGCTGGCTAGTTTATATATACACATGTGTATGCTTCCCCTGGCGACGCGTGTGTATGTGTGTAAGCGAGTAATTGCCGTCAAATAGCGCCCGTACGTCTCCCGAGGATTCATTAGAGAGCCAGAAAGCTTCCCCTCTTCTTTCGATCGATAATTCGATATCGGCAAGGTTTTTCTTACCCCTCTGTGTAACTCTCTGCGGTGAGTATAGGTATAACGTTGAAAATCTGTTTTTGCACTGACGTGCACACACACACACACACATGCACATACACCGAGCGCTCATACATGTCACGTCACCTGAGAGAGTAGGGCGCGGGTGCTTTTTCTGGCACCCGCGAGAGTTTACGGCAGGTAATGTTTCTTAACGTTAACAAATCTGCGCGGCCTTTCAGCGATACGAGTGATGTAGTTTTTTTGCATTTGCAAAGATAGAGAGAAGGGGGTATGGGAATTCACGTGAATTATCGTTTTGTATGGATTAATTAGGGGCTCCTCTCTGAAGTAATTATGTATTTTCCCATGTGTAGATCCATGCGAGTGTGTTTTATTTACTACTTACTCGATTTTTGCGTGCAGTAATTGGGGACGATATTTTACTAAACAAGTGGGTATACAGTGCGTTGATAAGCGTTTGATAAATAATTAATGATTGTATTGTATGTCAAAAAATGTTATTGCTGTATATTTGTGATAGTATCGAAACTCACGACTGAAACTTTTTCTTTTTCAGGTCAATCAGTGGCTTCATCATTTTTTTTTTTCTTCAAAAAATGTAGTACTTCGAACGTCACCTCAAGTACAACAGTAGCGCAAAACATCAACACCCAGAGTGTTCCCTCAACATGATGATGTATTATTCCGAGCACTTCAATCGAATTATATATATATA